TACTTTTTTCTCTGGTGGTTCCTACCCCTTTCCAGAGCTCTCTGGCCTTCAGAAGGGGCCTGTGCTCTGCTCAGGGAAGGTTCTGGGTCACCTGCCGGTAGTGTCAAGGCTGCCAGCTTTGTGGGATAAAGGAGCTGGATTCTGGGCAGCTGCAGCTAATGTGGGGTTCGGAGTGCACCCCAACTCTGCTTGGTCTCTCTTGGTTGAGTCTACATGAAACCAGGGTTAGTAGTTTGAGCCCAGTCATCAGAGAAGTTAGGAAATCACACTGCGCCTATCTGCAACAGCTACCATCAGCTGGACAGGCGTCCCTGAGAGCACCTCACAGCCCTGTCTCACAGGTGGGGTCACTGAGGCAGGGAGTGAGTGAGAATGCTGGCCAGAGTTCCAGTAAGGACCGTCCGCTGCTCCATGTAGCACAGTGGCCCAGCCACCGTGGGTGGGTGTCCAGCTCTGACTTAGTGTCCCCTGGTTGGAGTCCCTTCCATTGTCTGCTAATTCAGAACGTGCAGTTATTCACTTACAATAGCGGTTCATGCATCTTCTACTAATATGCCAGCCGCCATGATGTGGGAGAGAGGAAGGCAAGGCGTTAAAAGGAATGATGGAGATTTCTGACAAAGGTCACCATCAACTCAGTGGGGAATAACAGTCTTTGCAAGACCAGACTTACTGGCTGGACAGAGTCTGGTGGAACCCCTGAATCTATGGCTCTTTGCCACCCTTCAGGTCTGGAACTGATCTCACCCCTGTGGTTCAGCTTTCAGCCAAACAGACAGACCTATAGGGTGAACAACAGCGCTTCCCCAAGAACAAGCCATCATTTGAAATCAAAAGGGCAGCATTTGCTCAAGGACAAAGTTCAGAAGGGTTAGGGGAGGAGGAGGAGGAGAAACAGTAAGCAGAGGGAGGGGATTGCAGTCAGTCAGTGAGAGCAAACAACGCGAGCATGAGTGGTCAAATGGAAAAAGGATTTGTTCTCTAAACCTTCAGTCAATTCACAATGAATAAGTTGGTAAAATAATAAGAATAAAATGAAAGACACTTTCAACACATGGTGCTGAGACAACTGGATATTCAAATATCAAAAGGTCAGTTTAGACCCTTACTTCCCACCACACACACAACTAACTCAAAATGGATCACAGACTGTAACGAAGGTCTCAGATTAGCAATGTTGAGAAGCAAACATAGGTGTCAAACTTTGTGACCTCGTGTTAGGCCACGATCTCTAAGTTGCACCCAGAAAAGAACAAGCAATAGAAGAAATTGATAAATTGGACGTCATCAAAATAAAACAAATGCCGGTGCTTCAAAAGACACCAGTAATGAAGTGAAATAAGCAAGACACAATCTGGAATAAAATACCAGAGAAAGGACTCGAACCCAGAATCTATAAGTAACTCTTGTTGTTGTTGTTAAGTGCCGTCGAGTCGGTTCTGACCCATAGCGACCCTGTATAGGGTTTCTGAGGAGCAGCTGGTGAGCTTGAACTGCCGACCTTGCAGTTCAAACGGCTTTGCAGTCTGGTGCATTAACCCACAGCGCCACACCAGGACTCCATAAGTAACTCTTACAACTTAATAAAAAGAAGGCAAGTAATTAAACTTTTAAAATGAGAAAAAGATTTAAACAAAATAGATATGTGTATGGCTTAATAACACATCAAGGAGCCCTGGTTGTACACTGTACCAAGCACTGGGTTGCTAACCACAAGGTCAGCAGTTCAAACCCACCAGCTGCTTCGCGGGAGAAAGATGAGGCTGTCTGCTCTTATACAGATTTACTCTCGGAAACCTTCTGCAGTAGTCCCACTCTACTATAGGGTCGCTATGAATCGGAATTAAGCTGATGGCAGTGGGTTAGTAACACAGAAAAAGGTGTTGAGCATCAAGAGTCATTAGAGAAATGCAAATGAAAACTACAGTGAGACACCACTCCATACCTCTAAGATGGTTAACCATCAAAAAGACAGATGCTATGGCTTGAACGGTGTGGTGAATCTTAACCCCTATGACTGTGCCTATGATCCAACTTGGGGATGTGAGGCTCAGGAGAAGCAGCTCCTTAGGAGACAAGGACGTTCCTCCACAGCCAACAGAGCGATAGTAAACGCCTTCCCTTAGAGCAGGTAACTGTGAGAACTCAAGTCACCCACTCGCGGTGTTTCTCTGCACGAGAGAACGAAGACAACAGTTACAAGTGTTGATGAGGATGTGGAGAAACTGGAGCCCACAACACTGCAGATGGTGCAAATGCTTTAGAAAGCGGGTTTTTTAAAAAGTTAAACAAAGCAATTCCACTCCTAAGAATATACACCCAAGAGAGCCGAAAATCTCCATCCACCCAAAGACTTGTATACATACGATTATGGCAACAGTCTTCCTAGCTAGTGGTTCAACAATGGAAACAACCAAAATGTCCATCAACAGACAAATGGGTACACGCAATGTGGTACAACCACACAAAGAGATCCGATTCAGCTGTACACAGGAATGAAGTCCAGAGGCAGCAACCACATGGATGGGCCCCCCAAGATCATCATACGGAGTGTAAGAAGCCAGACACAAGCCCACACGGTTCACGATTCCATTTACATAAAACCCAGAAGAGACAAATCTACAAAGAGAGAAAGCCAGTTAGCGGTTGCCAGGGGCTGAGGGAGGGGACTGGAAGTGACTCTATTTTCATCTTTTAGGGGATGACGATCTGGAATTAGATTGTAGGGACAGTTACACAGCTCTCAATTTACCCCCAAACAGTGAATGAATGTACCCTTAAAACGAGCACAGTTTCTGGTATGTATGTTGCTGTTTAAGTGATGTCAAGCTGGTTCCAACTCATAGAAGCTCTTTATGGGGTTTCTGAGGCTCTAAAAAAAAATTTGTGGGAGCTGAAAGCTT